CCTTCTTGGCCACAAGGGGACATTGCTGGCTTATGGTCATTCTGTTGTCCACCAGACTCCCAGGTCCCTTTCCACAGAGCTGCTCTCCAGGAGGTCAGCCCCCAACTTGTACTGATGCATGGGGTTATTCCTCCCCAGATGCTGTACCCTACACTTGCCCTTCTTGAATTTCATAAGGTTCCTCTCCACCCAATTCTCCAGCCTGAACCCTTTTTCCTCGATGCAGGGCGAGTTTCGGTGCCTGCAGCACAACATCTGGGGAATCAAAGTATAGGAAAGCACGGGGTGCAGATGCAGGCTTGGTAGGCAGTCAGCCAGGCTCAGCTGGGCTTACTAGCCTGGGATCTGTGCCAGGTGACTTCTGCAAAGGAGCAGGTCAGTGAGGAGATGAACACAGGAGTGATCCGTTATTGCAGTCCTGGGTGCTGGAGTGCTGCTAATTTTTCTCAAGTGTATTTTTTTATAAGGAAAAGATTAGGAAAAAATTTGGTCATTCATTATACGCCAAGAATATAGTTAGCCTGACTCTTAAACCCATATGGTTAAACCTTAAAAGGATGCAAACGCTCCATTAGAAAATGTGGACAGAGTGTTGTTTGGCTGCAATATTTATTACTTAGCATCGCATCTCTTACATGTCTTACAGCTCTTCTGTCAACTGTCCTACTTCCGGTCTGTTCATCTTAACTGATGCTTCCAAAATCTGTTTAGCACACTTATTTAAATAATAAATAAAAAAAAAGATTTGTGAAGCCTGTCAGTTTTAGTGCTGTGGAAGAAAAGATAAATAGTATGTTAAATGGTGTTGCAAGGTCAGCAATGCAACCTGGACTCACAGCCCTGCTCCTGGATTGCAGTTTCTAAGACCATTGAGCATTGCAGCAAGAGAGAGCTTTGGGGTAGGATTTGAGAAGGTAATGTTACAGCTTTCTGGGTACTTACAGGGAGCTTATTCCTGGTGTGATAGTGCTCACTCTAAAGCCTGGTGGGACAGTCACAGCTCACATCTTTGTGACATGAAGTTTCAGGTGGTCTTGCAGCTGTATGAGAGTATGATGGAGCTGGGCTGGGCATGAAGGGCCGCACAAGTTTTCTGTGAAGCAAAAGGGATGAAGGAAGGAGATCAACCTGCTGCTTAGAGGATGAGTACACGTACGTGTACCCAGGCTGGAAGCGATGGTCTAAGAAGCTCTTTGAGTATGCACGTTACCTGGAAAACAGAATTTGTTACAGGGCAGTGGAGAGGTTGTGGTACTCAAGGTTAATGATGACAGGTGCAGGAGAGAAATTGCCATTCTCAAACTCACAGCTTACCTGAAGCTATGATGTGTTTAAGATGAGTTTACTAGTCATTTTGCACATAGTCTTTGGATTAAAAAAAAAAAAAAAAAGTTGTGGAAATTCTGTGGTTTGTTCAGAAGTAGTGTGTGTGAGTCAAGTATTTTAGTTCCGTGCTCCTTGAAATTCTGTAATGCTGGTGACAAGTAGTAAAGCTCCCCGCTGACTTTGTCTGTCTTGTCATATTTTTATGATATGCTTGAGTTTAAACTGTCTGTGTGAATAGCTTTACTGTGCTCAGAAGTGTGTTTCTGCATCTCTTGTCACTGATTCTTCTCCCTGTTTGTCCACTATTGTCTTGGTTACTTAAATCAGTGTCTTTCTAGAGACAGGGTTGGGGAGTGAAAAAGAATCATCCTGCCTGAGCAAAGACACTTGTTTGGGTCACAAACTGGGATAGTCATAAATGTTTTGCGGTGGTGGAAGGAAATTCAGGATGTCTGCAGGCATGTGA